TGACAATGAAGTTTTAGGTTGTCCTAGGTCCACTAGAAAGGGCGTCATGAATCCACTGCTGGTAGCCAGCTACACGTTTCAAGCCTGTTTTAAATTTTCGAATACCAATTTTCCTATCGCAGCTTCAGCCACCTGGTCAGTGTGTTGTGTGCTCACGGCAGCCCATTCTTACGGTGTGGGTCCTGGGTCACGTGAAAATGACGCCGCCCAGCAACCACCGGGAGACTTTCCTAAAGGCTTAGAGCATGTTTGACGTTAATTGTTTCTGCCTCGATGCTCCAACTCGCTGATGCTGTTGCCATTATGTCCATTTTCGTTTCACATGTGCCTCTGATTAGTTTTCATGCATTGCATTGAAGTGGCTTTAGGTCGCCTTGGGTAAGAGTGTTGGATTTTATGCAGTACTTGATAAAAACTTACTGCAGATATATAGACTAGATCTTTCTAAAACCCTGCCGTTAAGGCAAGACGCTTAGTTCTATGATGTCAGAGCATGATTCCAGTCAACCCATTCGTTTGTCTTTCTCCATTGTTGCAGTCCACAAAGGTGGCTTATGACGTCCTTGAGTCAACAGTTCAACTGTGAAATGAAGTAATTTCATCATGCTGATATCCCATAAGCTCACTCTCACCCAGGCAGGCGTCTTCATCACAGATGACACTCGAGGTACAGTCTTACCTATATCCCGTTTACGCCGTTCGGCTTATAAAAAGTAACACGCCCCTGCGAAATGCGTAATGACTTTTTTGGTAACGCAGTTTCGCTTCAGAGCAAGCTGTATGTATTTGCACACCCCACAACAGGAAAACTGCCTTTTACCGATATCGGTTCGTATCCATGGAAGACAAAGCACCTGTGCAGTGTGAGTCACGTGATCACCTTCGCTTTTGCTGACGTTTCTTTGGCAGTGCTACGAGATGGGCTGTTGCGCTCAGCTCGGCCTGGTTTAGCCTGAGTGGATGACCTGGATGGTCGGTTGGTGTATGGGGCCTTGGTTCTAACTACTCAATGGAGAGTACACAGGCAAAGGTAACGTGTCAAGCTGGTTGCCGCAGTAAACGTGCGAAGTTGTCCTAGTGCATCATAAGTGCTGTCATGTTTTCGTCCAACGCTGATCAGTCTCGCACAGAAATTGCACGATTTTTCTAAGGTGAATGCAGTTTTGTGCTCGACTCGGCTCCGTAAATGTATAGACAGCGGCGAAGCACAGGCACAGTCAGTGGCGTCACCATGAGCTTAATAATGTACCGGGTAATTCCGCGGCGAACATGAGCCAACACAAGTAAAATGTCGGCGCATTAGCCTGCGATATAGTCTACAAGGTATCTGAAATCTATATTTATTTCCATGATCAAACCAAGGTTTTCAACTAGAACTCGCGTACAATATCTGTGCCTAATCTCAAAGCAATTGGTGGCGCATCGTGCAAGGCGATACACGTTCCGAAAATACGAATTGCTCTTCCGAGGTGTTTAACTTCAAAGCGCTGGCGTACAGCCCGATATACAGTACAGTGCGAGAACTCTCCAACGCAGCAACTCAGCAGTCCCTGTCGTGCTTTCGCCAAGGGACCAAAAGCTTAGTGCCTATCATCAGTATAAGAAAGTACAGTACCATGCAGTGAATAACGGTTAATCTCGTTTGCGAAGATTGTGTAAAGGAGGCAGCTCACGGTCAGCCCTGAGCGAAATCCCGTCAATGACCGTGAGAGATTCCGAACGAGAGATGTTAGTCTTTCGAGTGCTTTACCCAAACTTCTTTGGTACGCATAGATAAGTAAGTTGAGTAAAAATAACTTTTTGAACCAAAGCAAACTGATGTAGTAGAGACGTTTCTCTAAAATACGTGTGTGAAAGATCGCATCCAAACACCCGACACAAATCCAATATCACAATTATGGCAATTCCTACGTAATCCGACGTCCAGTGTAAGTCCTCAGGCACCACCGCCAGAGCAGTTTCGCATGACATATCAGAATTTAGCCCCTTCTGGGACACAGCAAGAATTCTGGAAAGGAGCGGCATCGATTGACGAAGGGCCTCCTTCTGGTGGAAACCTTCTCACTATAACTCACTAGATTTCGCCCACCTTACTACCTTAAAGGACCAATTCGAGTCCTGTTATGTAGCTGCAATAGAAGCCAGAAACTGTCAAACTATGAAATTATTCTTCACCTTGGAAGCCAAACGAAGTGAAGAGGACATACTTTAAATATCTGTGTCGAATACGCTGTTGTTGCTTTTCATTTCGCAATGGTTCATTCGCTCCTTTATAAACCGATGAGCCTCAGAGTCGTTACCAGAATTATTTGGGCTCTTCGAGGATAAGGAACCCGTGGATTGAGCAACAGCTTAGACCAAACGAGGTCACACATTTCTATTGATATGGTCCACTCATGTTTGCTAACTCATCCCTTCAACTGATCCCGTCTGGTCGACCCGGGGCCGCCAGGGACACATCAGACTGCTCCCTGAAAGGGGAGGCGCTGTGATTGGGGCAGTTGGCCCCAAATCGAAGGGGCTCTCACTGACGCAAAGGGATCCTTTACCGGCGTAGAAAGTCCAGTTAATTTGCAAAGAATCCCAGCCCGATGTATCGGACCCCTGGCTGAAACGAGACGGAGGGCCCTGCTGGGCATCAGTGCCGCTGACTGACACAGGGCTCCTCCACTGTCTTATTGCAACCCCTCGTATTGTTATCTCTCGCATCTCATTTCATCGTCAGAGGAACCTGACCAAAGCAGAAGGCTGTCACTAGGGGTCCCGTCACTGCGCTGGCTCAGCAAATGTGGACTCCTTGACTGATGCGGGCTGATTCAGGGCTACTTGCCGGCACATAATGTTATGTGGGCACTGTGGGCTCCTGACCAATGCATAAGCCCGTTCTTGTTGCAGGGGACCCGATAAATGCAGGTCTGCAATGACAATCTCTGGCCTTGTCCCTGCTTGGGAAATGGGTCCCCCAAGGCCCAGACCGACGCGGAGCTGGCTGTTCGGCATTAGTGATCTCCGTGATCAACATAGAGGCCCTTATCGTTCAGAAGGGTTCCATCGACGCAAGAGGCCCTCCGACTGATATTTGAGGGCCTTGTTCTGCAGGCGAGAGTCCGTTGATACAACCTCCAGCGGACCCTACAATTGGGGTCCCTGTCGGCGGCCCCGAGGATCCAAAGGGATCCAAAAGGTACAAACACAAATGAAGGCGTTCGTGCGACAATCGGCTAAAAAAGTGTACACATAGCCGTCGAAGGCTATGAAAGTGTCAGGAACATTAGCACTGAGGGAATGCGCATCGAAAACTAATATATCGGACCACTCAGCCTCATGCAGATTGTGCCATGTTGTTGCACTGCGTGCAGGCAATGCAAGTAGGACCCGTGGTCTTCCTGCCCAATGAGGCGGGTGGCTCGCCGCGTCTCCACCTGTCCCACTATGCGCCTGAGCTGTCGATGACGTCAATCAGATATTACCGCTTGACAACAGATGACGTGTTTGGCAGCCAGGGCAGTGCTTATTGGAAGTCGGCGAGCTCCAAACGCGAGACCAGAACGGGAGAGCCAATCCTCGCACTGTTCATTCACTCTTTGATCGCTCGGCTGTTTATTCATGCTTTCGCTCACTCGTCCTGTTCATTCATTCTTTGGCCCATCCGTCCAGGGAATATGTCGGGCGCACAAACACGCAGACAGTGCCGGGAAGAGATGTAGGAGGAAACAACTGCGTGTGCAGGCAGGTCGCACCGCGCAGGAGACTCAAAGCAGCTGTGTGTGCAGGCAGGTCGGCACCGCACAGTAGACTCAAAGCAGCTGCGTGTGCAGGCAGGTCGGCACCGCGCAGTGTACTCAAGCAGACTCACATGATAGCTTGGATAGGTTCACTTCAATGAGAGCCGACGCATATTCTGCATCTTCCAGTTAATTAACAGTCGCCAAAGAAATAAAGGTTGCAAGACCAACTGCTTACTTGCAAAATAAATCATACTTCCTAAATTCCCCGTCGGTGTACTCTATTACATCACTGAGGTCCATGTTAAGGATACAGTTCATAACAACTTGCAAGGAAGATCTTTCTCTAACACTGCGATAACTGTCACATGGTCCTAGAGGCGTGCCAAGTGATAATGGCTCTCCCATTCATGACGTAAGAAGTAGTGACAGTCCAAGTGGTCGTGTATCGCGGAAGGCTTTCTACAATAAACGCAGTAATAGGATGCCTCTCGAGAGGGCTATAGCACATCTCATCCTTATTTTATCTGGCCAGTTGTGACATCAGCAGTGGGCAGCGAGGTCAACGACCTTGCAGTGAACAGCAGAGTCAACAGCCTGAGATTAAGTGGAGGTGCATAATGAAAGGTGACCATCACTTTTTATGTGAGCGAAATATCACGTTGATTACGGAAATCAACGGAAATAAAAATTACGAAAAAAATTGGGTGCGTTGATTACGGAAAACCCGCTAGCCCTGCCGTGCGTGGGGAACCAATCCGGCCCCTGCAACTTTCTTATTTCATCACCAAAGCGTATTAACAAGGCGCTAAAATTGTGTGACCGCGCGACTATCCATTTGTCACATTCCAACACAGCAGCGTCTTCTCATTGGCCAAGGAAGGCTCCAGGTGCACTTTGTGGGAGGAGCATCCGGACAAAGCACGGTCTTTCAAGTGCATTGCATTTAGGGAGAAGATCATACAACAGAAAATAGCTTGATGTATAGCCCAAATCAATTTTTTTTCGTCAGATACCTCCTAATCTATCAATTTGTTCGAGTTAACAAGGGATTGCTCGATATTTTTGTTCGAGCGATTAAATATATACGTATTTTCACGAAAGAGTAAAGGACGTGATAACGTGAGGGAATCGACGTTGGTTTCAGCTTCGGATTCAAGACGTCTTGAACCGTACACTAGCTGTTCAAACACTTTCCGGCCATGCGTCCGATCCCAAAGGCACATGCAATGCGGAAGTGGATATAGTAGGCGACAGGAAAGGTTCCAGGAAAAGATGTGGAAGGCCCACGTCTCCAAGATCCACCTGGGCTGCAAAAAAGTGGAGCAGGCTGCACACTGGCATCATAGCGGTTTGTCACCCCTCTCCAGGTGTGTTCCAATGTCTTAGGGGCAGCTGCGCCAAGTTTCAGGGCTAAGGGCGGGTGCCAAGAACGGACATGTGAGAAAGAATAACAGTCGCCTTTTGAATGAGCGCCAGCACTGTACATCTCACACATTTACCCTGCCAGCTTTGTATGTCCTGTGTCGGCACTGATTTGGGGTACTGACAGGGACGGATTTATAGGATAAAAACATCACAATGGGTTTGAGGCAGCAGCCAGTAGTGCTCGCACTTGTACGCTGTGAAGCAGCTAATGTTTTATTTGCGCTGATTTTCAAGATTCCGCATCTAACACTGCTGATTTAACAGAAACCGTTTACATTTGTGTTTTTCGGTTTCATCACAGGTGTGGTACCGTCATATAACACATTGCAGGATATCTTGAGGATTTACTGGTCTGTAACAATTGATTTATATTTACCTCACTTCCTGTGCGCGCAACCAACGTGCTATTGTGTTCTTTTGTCCAAATAAATAGGTAAGGTAAGACTGCAAGTTTTCGTTCGTCATCGCGTCCAAGCACAGGTTTTAAAGCTCCCTAGATGCTAAGAGGTGGGCATTCGGCCCGCGCGTGGGGGGAGGGGGAGGGGATGCGTAAAAAATTCGCCACGTAAAAATCGTTTAACACCTCCAGTGAATGAATAATGGTATAGATTACAGCACCTGCTACGCAGGGCGAGTGCTGTGATAGCCGCGCATAAAAACTAAACAGAAATAACACTTCCTTTGGGTAATAGCAATGTTTTAAAATCTGTTCATTCATGCCTTTGTTAAAGCTTACGAAATGACTAACAGCATGTTTCATTTGCTTGGCACAGCGGAATTAGCTCAAAGCAGCTACAGCGCAGCTTCGGCACCTTTGCCAGCGTCGGGACCTATTAGCAAGGCTTAGCCTAGCATGGCCTGGACCATCATGCTCTTTTAACCGTTAAGAATCCTTAAGCCGGACTGGCATGTCAGCCATTTTAAGCCAAAACTACAGGATTATCCGATAAAATACGACACTAGTTTTCAGATTTGACCTGGTATTGCAGTGAACTTAACATGTTTTTGCAGGCGTCGAATGAATGACGGTACGATCGTGCCAAGACCCTTTGCCACTTCTAGTACAATTCACGACGGCATCTGCTGCATACACAGTCCGATAATATGTCATAAGGGTCAGCAGACGAAAGCTTTTCTGATTTTTTCCGGTGGCATGTAGATGCATGATAACAAAATTATTGCATAATAAATTGCCCTGGTAATAATTCAAATCTTACAGGCCAGATGCGAACAGGTTTCAAGTTCTCAGTTGCTCAAGAAATCACTGCAATTCAAACCATAATTTGGGACTACCTAGAACAGCGTTCGCGTCATTTAGGACATGCATGTGTTCAATGCGCATTTCGATCAGACTGATGTACTAAAATGTGTCTTTTGTTTCAGAATCTGAAGGACCAGATTCTGACGACAAACGTGTGGGTGGAGCATGTAAGTACGGGAGCGAAATCAGTGCAAGGGACACGACGTGACCTGAAGACGAATCACGGACGGAATAACACTTGCCGACAGCCGATTTTAGATTTCATATTGCAAATTAAAATCGACCAATCAAAGCGCCTCATACTTGGATTAGTGCTTAGATCTACCGCGTGCTTGACTTGTTCTGGCTGCGTGCCAGTGACGTCAATTTGGTCACTGGCTGTGACGTCAGCCTGACGCCTGCCGCGCGGCTCATGTGACGTCACCACCAACCGTTGAGCCCATAAGAGTGACCCATGGGAGTGGCACGCGGGCGCCGGCACGGCGCTCCGCGGGCCGGCGGCAGAGAGAGCAGCATTGATCTGCGGACTGCCGCACCGTCCTCACACGGCGGCACTGCAGCAGACGACTGACAGACGACGGGCTCTGAGTCACAGCCCCACATGTCTGCCAGACCAGCGGTCACGGCCTCACATCTCTGCCAGGCCAGCGGTCACAGCCTCACACCTCTGCCAGACCAGCGGTCACGGCCTCACACCTCTGCCAGACCAGCGGTCACAGCCTCACACCTCTGCCAGGCCAGCGGTCACAGCCTCACACCTCTGCCAGGCCAGCGGTCACGGCCTCACACCTCTGCCAGGCCAGCGGTCACGGCCTCACATCTCTGCCAGGCCAGCGGTCACGGCCCTCACACCTCTGCCAGGCCAGCGGTCACAGCCTCACACCTCTGCCAGGCCAGCGGTCACAGCCTCACACCTCTGCCAGACCAGCGGTCACAGCCTCACACCTCTGCCAGACCAGCGGTCACAGCCCCACATGTCTGCCAGGCCAGCGGTCACGGCCTCACACCTCTGCCAGGCCAGCGGTCACAGCCTCACACCTCTGCCAAGCCAGCGGTCACAGCCTCACACCTCTGCCAGACCAGCGGTCACAGCCTCACACCTCTGCCAGGCCAGCGGTCACGGCCTCACACCTCTGCCAGGCCAGCGGTCACGGCCTCACACCTCTGCCAGGCAAGCGGTCACGGCCTCACACCTCTGCCAGACCAGCGGTCACGGCCTCACACCTCTGCCAGGCCAGCGGTCACAGCCTCACACCTCTGCCAGGCAAGCGGTCACGGCCTCACACCTCTGCCAGACCAGCGGTCACGGCCTCACACCTCTGCCAGGCAAGCGGTCACGGCCTCACACCTCTGCCAGACCAGCGGTCACGGCCTCACACCTCTGCCAGACCAGCGGTCACGGCCTCACACCTCTGCCAGACCAGCGGTCACGGCCTCACACCTCTGCCAGACCAGCGGTCACGGCCTCACACCTCTGCCAGACCAGCGGTCACAGCCTCACACCTCTGCCAGGCCAGCGGTCACGGCCTCACACCTCTGCCAGGCCAGCGGTCACAGCCTCACACCTCTGCCAGGCCAGCGGTCACGGCCTCACACCTCTGCCAGGCCAGCGGTCACGGCCTCACACCTCTGCCAGGCCAGCGGTCACAGCCTCACACCTCTGCCAGGCCAGCGGTCACGGCCTCACACCTCTGCCAGGCCAGCGGTCACAGTCTATCACCTCTGCCAGGCCAGCGGTCACGGCCTCACACCTCTGCCAGACCAGCGGTCACGGCCTCACACCTCTGCCAGGCCAGCGGGGCTGACCGGGCCAGCGGGACTGGCGGCAAAGCCAGCGTGGCGGACCAGGCCAGTGGGGCTGATCAGGCCAGCGGGACTGACGGCACAGCCAGCGGGGCTGACCAGTGTAAGCGTTACTCGCACTGAAATGGCTTCGAAACAACGCATCCAACCTGAGCCGACCAAAGGATTGTGGCACCGTTAGTAAAGTGGCTATGCTGCGTGACTGGGAAAACAGAGACACGAGGTTCAGTTTACCGCTTTGCAAGCGTCAGCTGCCTGAGTGAGATGCAGGCTAAGCCATATGGACTCACCACTCGAGTGTTACACAAGGTCCCTGTGACAACGACCGACCAATGAATCTGATATCTATGCAAGCTCGCTTAAGCTGCTAGCAGAATATTCAACATCAGATGGTCGAAAGGCGTTTAGCACGCAAGGATAAGCCGCAGCACAGATATGAGCAGCATGGTGTGCTATGTTGAAAGAAATAATCCTACTTAGACTCAGACCTTACTCAGACAAACAGGCAGGCGTACTCTGAGTTCACAGAACGTAAAAAAAATGCCCAGGAAATATGGGTGGACAAAAACAAACTAACGTTATATTTTTGCATGCTGGCAATGGGATTTAACGACGCACTTTGTTCCTAGGACTTGATTGTGTCGCCTGTCTTTCGCCCTGCGCAGGACGGGCGAGCGCCGTGGAAAATCGACCCCCGCGACTTTGGTTTCCCAGCCACGCAGCTTAACCACAATATCACCGTAAACAAAATGGATTTTTACTGTTGGGTTCTATAGGTACAAGTGCGGTGTCCTTCGTCACTTTCTGTAAAACCCTGAGCCTCTGATTATTTGTTTATACGGTTAACATAGTGAATTCATATGAGGCACTGAATGGGTAAATTCATGTCAAAGACGAAGTGATTCGAATGTGAGGGCCCACGCAAAAATAATAATTCAAGTTAAGTCCCCATGACAAACCGCCCCTCCCTCCTTCCCTTCCTCCCCTCTTACTCTCTCTCTCTCTCTCTCTCTCTCTCTCTCTCTCTCTCTCTCTCTCTCTCTCTCTCTCTCTCTCTCTCTCTCTCTCTCTCTCTCTCTCTCTCTCTCTCTCTCTCTCTCTCTCTCTCTCTCTCTCTCTCTCTCTCTCTCTCTCTCTCTCTCTCTCTCTCTCTCTCTCTCTCTCTCTCTCTCTCTCTCTCTCTCTCTCTCTCTCTCTCTCTCTCTCTCTCTCTCTCTCTCTTCTCCTCTCTCTCTCTCTCTCTCTCTCTCTCTCTCTCTCTCTCTCTCTCTCTCTCTCTCTCTCTCTCTCTCTCTCTCTCTCTCTCTCTCTCTCTCTCTCTCTCTCTCTCTCATCATCACCTGTCACATAGTCACACCTGCCCCAGTATCCCACGATGCAGTTTCGGCCAGCGCAATGTCATCAAAGCCTTCTTAGCGCGAACAGGAAAAATAGGCCTTTATCGTTGCAACTTTAGTGCAATCCTGAACATGACTGTCTATTACGGCGCTGACCTCCCGTTTTCATCAGATGCCTGTTCCAACTTAGGCTTTCACATTACCAGGTCGCAAAGCCCGAAACTCTCATCAGTCATTTAGGATGCCACTGCCATTACCACCATCATTCCAAATTCAGTGGCTAGAACTTCGCACATTCTCTGCACAGCTCCGACATTCATGATTAATTAGCGCGATATAGCGGCAGCATCGCGTTGAGAAACGCTGTGAAGGAACGTTTTGAATAAATTGTGATATGTGGTTGTGGCCTTGTGCCCTTGTGAGATCAGGGGCTGATCTCAGACGGCACTCAGACGGTGTGAGACCAGGGGCTGTAGTGGGGAGAGGGGGGCGGGAGGGGGGGGGGCAGAGGGGCAAATTCCCTGCCACCAGGCAGGGGTGAGGGACAAAAGTATGTTTTCGCTTCCTGAAAATTTTGGGAGGCCCCGTTTATCCAAAGTAAAAGCTCCGTAACGCCAAATACAGTTACAAAAAATTGAGGTCAAGGAGACCCCAATAACTGAGCCAGAGGGCGCTAAAGTTTTTTTGCCGGTTCGGAATAGCTCATACGTTATGTCCATGTTATTTCACACCAGTCATGTCAGCCCCGTTATGAGCTAGAAGACACCTTTTCTGGAACATGAAGCATGAACAAGAAGAAGGGATCTCCGTTTCTGGAAAGGGAGACCCCTGTCATGCCTCAGATGGATTTAAATGCACATTCGTGAATTGTCAGGATCCTGTTCTAGATTAGGAGACACAATTATCGGGCGCTTCACGTGACTTTTTCGGGAACAGCAGACCCCGTTTTGGAATTGGGAGGCCCTTTGCAGGATCGGAAAACCCATGTTAGTCAAAAGAACCCAATGCTGGATTTTTAATGGCCTACATGAATATTGTCACTGTGATAATTTGGTAAAGGACCACGTGATCCATGTCCTCCATCCCCGCCCCTTGAATATGACACCACCCAGGAGGCCCCATGTGACGCGGACCCACTCCGTCCAGCAAGCCCATTGGAAAAAACTCCCCGACCCAAAGTCCGTGGTGCCGCTACTGAACATGATAATATAATGTGGCGCCGCTCGTAAACATGACATATATGCATATATATATATATATATATATATATATATATATATATATATTGCGAACGATGCAACGTTTGGAACCTCCACTCTATGATTTGTACCACACAACTTATTTTATCAGCCTGATGACTTGCATAAAAGCTGAGGTGTGTGACTAGCAGAATAAGTATACTTAGCCGTCTTTCCTCCATGGCTGTACACCGGCGCCGTCAGTTTGTCAGATTCCTAAGTGAGTGATCCCACAAGTAACGTTGGCCTGTGGGATCACACAGCACGTGGTCTCGCGCTGCCGTTGGAGCATCGCATGTAAGCGGTGCCGGTTTATCGCTAGTCTGCTGCATACCTATGTGAGTACTCGCGGGGCCGATAGTCGATCGGCTCCCGCGGTAAATAGTTTCACTGTGCCGTTGGTCTGTCAGGTCTTGCAGTGAACGGTTTTACTGTGCCGTTGGTCTGTCGCGTCTCGCAGTGAAAGGTTTTACTATGTCGTCCGTCTGTCGGGTCTTGCAGTAAACGCTTTCACTGTGCTGCTGGTCTGTCGGGTCTCGCGGTAAAATATTTCACTGTGCCGTTGGTCTGTCAGGTCGTGCAATGAAGGGTTTCACTGCGCCGTTGGTCTGTCGGGTCTTGTAGTGAAGGGTTTTGCTGTTCCGTTGGTCTGTCGGGTCTCACAGTGAACGGTTTCACTGTGTCGTTTGTCTGTCACGTCCTACTGTGTCGCGTCCTGCTGTGAGCTGCTTGCCGTTAGCCTGCTGGGCGCCACGGTGAGTGGTCTGACAGTCTGTAAGTCTGCCGGATCCCGCAACGGACGGTTTCTTTGTCGTGCTGCGGTCTGTCGCATCTCGGATTGAGCTGCTCATTTCGGCGGCCCATTTGTGAGACTTCACAGTGGGCTGTGTTGTCGACCGTCGCATGCCATATTTCATTGTCTCGCAGCGGGCTTGGGGATAAGTGGGCGCAAGCCTTGTGGACGCTCTCCCGAGACAACGATGGGCCTGGTGACATTTCCACTCCGCCAGCATGTTGGACATAATTTGTCGTGAAACACTTCCGGCTGACAGTATCCCCGCGTGCGATGGAACACCCGGCCACATTTTCCCGTCCTCATTTGTCGGGTCGGAACAACTTTCACTGATAGAAGCAGTAAATCTGACAGGCAATTCTAGAAGCGAAGGCACAAAGCTCAACTGTGCGGCAAAGAAAGCGATGTGAGCGCTGCATTCACGAAAAATGGACCAGCTAAACGGCGCGCTTTTGGGCGTGAATTGTCTTCTACCATCAATCCAGAAAACATGAACGTCACATAACCGCAAGTCATAAACGCTGGAAACATTTGGGTGAATGTCGTCTGGCCCTCCAGACAGGGCCAAACCAGGCCACGTGTCGCACCGTACCATACCTCACCGCACCGCACCAGACAGCATCGTACCGCACCGCACAATACCGTAGCGTACCGTACCGTGCAGTGCTGTACCGTACCGTACCGTACTGTACCGTACCGCACCGCACCGCACCGCACCGCACCGCACCGCATCGCACCGCACCGCACCGTACCGTACCGTACCGTACCGTACCGTACCGTACCGCACCGTAACGGGACCGGACCGGACCGGACCGGACTGGCAAATCAGGCGGACGACGCTCCACCACCCAAGAGCTGGACCCGCCAGCGGAGTGGACGCGTCCCTCCAAATGCTGTGTTTCAAAGTTCCGATCGTCTATTTAACGACCCGTGGCAATGGTTCAAACTTTGCTCCAGTGAAAACTCTTGAAGAACAAGTACTGAGGTTTAGGATCCGTTGAGGCAAACTGGTAGAATGAGGCGTCTTTGCCGAGTAGACTCTGGTCGGAAAGCGTTATTTCAGTGGTGCTGGAGAAGACGGATGAGCTGCATGCATCGAACACCGGAAACGCATTCCAGTATGATAGCCTGAGGTCACATGCTCTTCATTTCGTTATCAGCTTTTCTCCTAAGCAATTTTGAAGTGACTTGAGCCTGATATGCGGAGAAGACAGACTATGATAGTGAGGAGGGTGACAAGGCCTATCTGGGGGGACACAAAATTCCACCAATAGTTCCCCCTTTGTCGTCACTATAAATCATAGAAGAGAGCGTCTTCGCACAGCTACAATCACTTGGTCTTCTAAAAGGCAGACGTGTTTACAACCTAACCGCAAAACATTATGCAGCTTACGCATAGCCCAGATGTTATTATATACTGAGCTATGAGCAAACAGCCCCGTCCAGTGGGGACTGCTGCAGCTTTCTTCACATCTCGTTGTCTCACGGCATGCGCATAAAAGGTTTGCTTACAGAGCAGCATACTAGATGAATATTCAGAGCATGATCATGTCCGGGCTATATTTGCGTCGGCTGCGACGCTCCTCCGGCTCTTGATAGTCTCGCCGGACCAGGGCTGTGATCGCCGACGTCCGTTGACACGAGCCAGCGCCGGCGGGAGACGCCCGGACGCTGCTGAGACGGCAGACCAGTCTGAGGAGCAGCGGCACCCGCTGCGCTCTGTTCAGGACGACCGGCCATCGAAGCGCGATCCAGGCATTTTCCCAGCCGTCCGTGGACCAGGGTGGCGCCTCGTTACCTGCCGGCCAGCGCTGACTCTCCGGCAGCTCTCCGTCCGGCAGCCCGTCGCCACGCCGGGCAGGCTGAGGCGCCGCCGTCTGAGGATACGGACCGACGCCGGGCACAGTGAGGCGCCGCCGTCTCAGGGCACGGACCGACGCCGGGCACAGTGAGGCGCCGCCGTCTCAGGGCACGGACCGACGCCGGGCAGAATGAGGCGCCGCCGTCTCAGTACACGGACCGACGCCGGGCAGAATGAGGCGCCGCCGTCTGAGGATACGGACCGACGCCGGGCAAAGTGAGGCGCCGCCGTCTCAGTACACGGACCGACGCCGGGCAGAATGAGGCGCCGCCGCCTCAGGACACGGACCGACGCCGGACAGAGTGAGGCGCCGCCATCTCAGGACACGGACCGACGCCGGACAGAGTGAGGCGCCGCAGTCTCAGGGCACGGATCGTCGCCAGGCAGAATGAGGCGCCGCCGTCTCAGGACACAGACCGACTCCGGGCAGAGTGAAGCGCCGCCATCTCAGGACACGGACCGACACCGGGCAGAATGAGGCGCCGCCGTCTCAGGACACGGACCGACGCCGGACAGAGTGAGGCGCCGCCGTCTCAGGGCACGGATCGTCGCCGGGCAGAGTAAGGCGCCGCCGTCTCAGGACACGGACCGACGGTCGCGTGACCGGCCGAGGCACGTGCCGCGCGTGTCGGAGACACGCGGCGCTGATGACGACGGGTCTAATGAATAGGCGCTAACGACGACTCATGTGGGCGGGGTGATAAGCTTTCAATAGGTGATTATGTGTCAAAGGAAATCTGGTAACGCCGCCACTCGACGTTCGACGTCTAGTTTCGACATGATTGGTCTTACTTGCATCTGGAATATCTTACCAAAACTTGGAAGGTTAACGTGTTGTCTGGTGTTTTAATGCGATTTTAATGCATCTTTTACCACGTTTGAAGTGAACTGCTTGGTATCAGTGGCCATACTGCGGACCGGCTTCATCATCAGGACCAGAGTGAATTAGCTGTGTTGTGCATGTTACGCACTGGCACTGGGACGCTCAAGTCGGCATCGTAGGCCAGGGCCAGTTCGGTGCACCGAGGTAGGCAGAGCGGATCGCAGTAGCACTGCCCATCTCGAAGTCGTTTCTCCTTTTGTAATTTTTATGAGATCATATTTGCTTATCCATACCCGTATTGGCGAATAAAACATCCCTGCCATGCATATAGCAGATAACTCTAGATCGTAGTATCCTAATATCAGCCTGCTGTATAAATCATTATTTGCTTTCACCATATAATAATCAGCATATAAATCATTTGCTTTCATTAAATCGTATAAATCGGTGGCTCGAATGACACTCACCCCGCGAGGGCGCTGCTTCGAACTATGGAACACCAATCTTATCCACAGATGGGCAGCCAAATAGCACCTGGCGTATTCATAACGCCATCAAACATCTGAAATCCTGAGACATCGTGACATCCAACCCAAACCACACCCAAAAGTGACAATTCTTTTCCAACCTTGCGATGGAAATTAAAAGCTATGATGAAAATCGAACCTAGGACAAAGGACAGTTTGCCCCAAACTTGCCGCATTTAACGAACGCTGTGGAAGGAAACCGGCTTGGCGGCGCTACTGGGATGATAACTTCTATAAATTTGATACATGTAGTACCTTAAGACGTCATCACATCGGCATGTATCCAATGCTTGGCGTGTGGTCTTTTACTCTATGTTGCGCTTTAACCTTATTCCTATCAGGCTGCACTTGTCCGTTTAGGTACGCCGGCCCCAGCTTCTTAATCTTACAAATAATGATGCAAATTTGGTGGCTCTTCTAACCCCTTATTTTTACACATATTCCTCGAGTTTGAAAATCAGGGTGCGGCCAGCCTCGGCTTCATGGGAGGCTTAGTCGTCTCCATTTTCGTACGCTGGTAGCGTCAGTGAAATAGATTGCATAGTTAGACGTGAAAAGTGTATATACGCAACACAGATAGCATACACACGCACAACTAAATATAACACACATGTAACAATTACATGCAAAACACACATAAATACACGTAACACACATAAGACGTATGTGTACAATATCGATAACAGGAGTGGATTCATTGGGTGCAAGAGCGCCAAGATCGTTCCGAAGATGGCCGACATGTGCATGCAATCAGTTAATGTTGAGCTGTATGACATGACAACCGATTCGACGTGCCGCAAGACAGCGATGCAGTCAAATATATTATCAACACAGACCTGATATAGAAACATCGGAACTTTTCTCGCGATTTGCCTGCCTCATTGTCAGCCTGTATATAAACGAGCGGTTTGGCACATAACAAGAAATGTCCTGCAAAAAAACATTTGCCTCTGGTTTCAGGAGTGGCTGGACTACAGGTTTATATGGGACCCGTTTGAATACGGGGGTGTGACGGAGTTGTACGTGCCAGCGGAACACATATGGCTGCCAGACATAGTGTTATATAATAAGTAAGTACACGCATGATGCATGATGGCTACTGCATGATGCATGATGGTGCACTGCATGCACCAGCAATTTGAGTTAAAGCAATCTGAGTGGGTTGTAAACCGTGTTACAAGTACAAAAAAGTCAATTTTATGATGCATTGCTTAAATTGGTACATGTTTCAAAGCAACTTCCCCCCTTTGTGCCTCAGCCCAATGAACAGCTTGCATTTTACTGGCTTTGCTGTTGTGGATATTTAATTGTCTCTACACTGCGTCCTTAAAGCTGGTTTCGAAACGCACTGCAATTTCAGCCCTCCATTCTTAAAGCAGTTGCATAACGTCAAACAAAGCTGTCATTCATCAAGCTCGACCCAAAAATTCTAGAAGATTCCTTTCCTTTTCGCAGACAGACCTTGCAGAGTAACTAGGATCTTCGAACCTGTCGACCGGAAGTTATGAATACATCCTCCATCGGAGTATTGATGGGCATGGCTCTCCATGCAGGATGGCATGTGATTATCATTAGCATTATCATGATGTCAAAGCTAATGAGGCGATATTCACCTTTTTGTTCCTGCCAATACGCCTCTCTGTAATACAGACATCGCTTCAGCTCACAACTGGAGTGTTCTACCCGTAAACAGCGCTGGTCATCTTCACCAGCAAGTAGTGTAATCGAGCGCAAAATAGCCTTAGTACCGGATGCGCTCATAAAACGCCTAAACATCAGCTATTTGACTTCACGTATGGCGGCAATCAATCTGACTGCCGGCCCAGCTCGAAGATTCAGCGAATTCATCGCGTCTGCAGGCAAGGCTTTGGTGCCATTGAGGCCCGCGAGTGTTTAGTAAATGCGTGGGAGTCTGAGCCGCTGCCTTTCCGCTGAATTGGAACGTTCTTGATCTTACATTCTTAGCGGGGTAGGCTATCAAATGACTACGATAAGAACTCTGCGGTCACAAACTTCACCGAACAGCTTATTTTTCCCCGCAGATAGATAAAACCAAGCTAAACATCTAAGCTGAAAAATCCTCTGTGATAAAACTGGCTTCGCAGACCGAATCGCAATCAACTAATCTTGATGCGGTCATGTACAGCTGCATAGCGAACTGAGAGGAAGCATTATTTTTAGGATTCACTCATGGATCGACGATGCGCCGCAATGTTGTGGTCACTGGAGACAATTGATGGCTGCTGACTGGTGGAATTCTTAACCGAAAGGAGGAAGGGCTCGAAACAAGAACTTATCATGGTGCGAGAATCTGAGCAACTTAATACAAAACATGCGATTTATAAAAAAATTTCCAATGCGGCGTAGCCAAGCTCAATGGCATGGGTTAAAGAGAATCACAATTCTAAGTGAATGTGCAGGACTGCTTTTTTGCATGGATTGCACGCTGTCTGCGCGCCGCCAGCCCCATACCGTGATCAAGCACGCAAATTTAAAATTGTTCTGTCGTTACGCGTGCCATCTTGCCTAGATCGCTAGTGGGCAGTAAGCCATGCTCGAACAATGATGCAACTTTCGACTTAAGCCGTCGGGGCTCACTTACATCAAGCTCTCCAGAATGAAATGTCTCTGCAGCTACTGATCGCAAATTCACGGATTTCAGGTAACCAGAGGAGCAGGTCCCGCTGTGAATCAAGCTGTGATAATGTAGAAGATATGTATATATAGATATAGAGATATAATGTGTAGATATGTAGTAATATATATATATATATATATATATATATATATATATATATATATATATATGCACATCTCTCTCTCTCTCTCTCTCTCTCTCTCTCTCTCTCTCTCTCTCTCTCTCTCTCTCTCTCTCTCTCTCTCTCTCTCTTTGAATATTTCATACAAACTTTGCGGTCAGACGGGGTATTCCGGTAACATTGCGATATGGATGACAGGCAGTTATACCCGCCAGCTGACAAGGTACGCGAGGACAGAGTAATGCAAATTGCGAAAAGCTGCACATGCGGGCCGAAATGAAGCTCAGATCTTGACGACCCGACGCCGCAGCGGCACGGAACGAGCGCCGTTTGGCGGGGCCAAGTGAAAAGATCACCGCACCGGCAGGAGTCGCCTCGGTAGTGGCCTGGGCCTTCAGCGCCCTCGTGCCCTAATAATCAAGCGCCACCTATGTGCCCGAGTGTGCAGACGTTCACGTGAGCTCATGTGAACCATGGATCCACTCGCTCCCCGGCGGTGTTGTGAATGAATGGCAGCTGGCAATCGGAGCCGACGCAGGCGTGAAGCAGGCTGCACTGTGTGGACAGCTGGATTGTAGGCGGATCAGTACGTGATCCGGACAATATCCGACCAAGCACTGCGGCAGTCATCGACCGCGAAGTGGACAGTACCGCAACGGTCATTGCTGCAAAATTATCGGCTTAAGTCACACGCTTTGGCCTAAGCCTCGGGTCGTCCTCTTCAGTTAGATTCATATTTGCCCATTTGCCCTTTTAGCTCTACCTTGGTAATCGCCCCTATAAACTGCAGATAAATGCGATTTCATCGACGTCGCCGACTACAAATGCCGGTCCTGATGAGACCAACACAGGCAATTTTCAAGCATGTTCATCTGCACAGGAACCGCTACACCAGAAACTGTCTGCCTGCAAACCCCGCAACGACTAAATTAATATCGATACATGTTCCCAACTGACAATTGTAATGAGGTCTAGCACATCAATCGGCGACAGCGACATGCCACATTGCGACATGCGAAATGCGACAATTCCCAATCAGCGACATGAGTAATGAGGTCTAGCACATTGCTGGATGCGCAAGGACAAGAAACATTTCCTAAAAGTGTTCGCTAAGAATGTGTAGCTACGGTTCTCTACATTTCATTGCGAGGGCAAATAAATTACCTGCCCTAGCTTCAGTCTTACTGATATAATGCATTCATGTGACAACGTTTGCATGCTGTTTGTTCAGTATGCGCGGAATTAGGGGCTTTCATGTCTGCATCATTATCCCTGAGCCTCACACTCTGCGCCTTAATTCCTTTGTCACACTGTTTGGAAAAGCATCTGATCGCTCCAACCAAGCTCAACCACAAAACACAATGCGACGAGGAACCAGGACTCGCGCATGTTGCTTTTCGCACGCTGCGAAGCGGTACTTCGAGATGATTGATCTTTTACTGCACAACCGGTTATTGATTAGTGACAAGCATCATTGACTGGCATTAGACCAACTTGAGTAGCTACTAAATCTGCGTCTAAAAATATGACCGCCCTGGGCCATTTTGAGGGGCCTTGAGGGCCAGACGCAAGAAGTTTTGCTGACCGATAATGTTCTCGCCTGTTGCAGTGCTGACGGTGAGTACGTCATCACGACGTTGACCAAGGCGGTCATCCACAGCGAGGGACGGGTGGTGTGGCACCCCCCGGCCATCTTCAAGTCCTACTGCGAAATCGACGTTCGATACTTTCCCTTCGACCAGCAGAAGTGCTTCATGAAGTTTGGCAGCTGGAGCTATGGGTCTTCGGTGAGCAGCACATGGCGTCCGCTGTGATTATTAGGTGCATGGTGTGTACCGTCAGGAACAGTCCAGAAGAACGCTGCATGTGTTTATGACAATATTTGCCGCCAGATGTGCTCGAAACGTGCTGTGTTGTTTAATGCTTTTTCATCTTTGTCTTGAATCGCTAGAGATCGTTATCTTTTTACCTGGAAACATGCGCTGCATCATGCATGGGCAGCACATTTTTGTCACAGATAAATATGATATTTCGATGATACTTGCGAATGATGACATTTACCAGGCAGGATGCTCCTGAACATATTTCCCAACGTTCAAAGTCTGGTGAAGGCATACATGGGTTACGAGTGCGGTGAGAGACAAGGGATGGCTTTGATGTCCTGTACTTCCGCGAGTCCGACGACCTCGTCTTGTGGGGCGTGGTGTTGCCACAATTGAGACATAATTTGCTTGAGACAATCCTGGCTGCTACTCGTCAACTGCAGGCAGGGGCTTGTTCCTGACGAGTCCATATTTGTCGCCATACGACTTTCATTGATAACTTGATGAACCTAGGAGCGAACGTGCGAGCCGTGTGTTGTCCTCGACTGTAAAAGGAGCATTTCTGACTAGATGAAAACCCCACATTTATGTCATGTTTTCCTTTGCACTTCTTAGCTTAAGCACACTCGGACCCCACAGCCCAAGCAGTGCATTGCAATACCTGATGATAATGTATTTCCGTTCCGATCACGGATGCCACGAGAGCCGTTTTCTTTCATCACTAATTGCGAAGACCGCGAGGACCGCGGCTCATCATCAATGTCCAGCCAGCCGCAACAGTTTCAGTATATTTTCTCTAACAGACGCTCTCGCGGTGGTCAGATTTTTAGACTTACCAGTTCATGATGAATAGTACGCGCCTTTTTACCTTTTGTGCTCGAAAAATGATGGCACCGTCCTGCTCTACAATGGTGATCTCATCGTTTGAGTGCGTTATTTTAAGCACGTCCATTTATAATGGCGCACTGCGGTTATCAGTGGTCATAGTTTGCTGAAAATATTACGGCACGTGACTAATGCACCACGCTGATATAGTGAACAAATGCTCTCCAAAGTTCACGTGAAGCGTATGGGGTCGTTCAAACCATCTCTGCACGGTGAAGACTATCCATCAGTATTTCGGTGTCGTGGTGAGCGTCATGCTGACCTTCCAATGCCCTCACGGTATTGAAATGTCAATATCGGTGATGTCTTCGGCGGTATCGGTGATAACTTTTTTGTCCATTCGCAACTGCCCAAGTTTATCCCCGGAACATGGCTGGCTCGCACTCCTCGCGCTGCTTCCGTGAGAGACACACACTTCGTAGTCTTGTGGTCCTTGCGTAATCGTAGTCTCGTAGTCGTGGTCCCGAAGTCGCAGTCTCATAGTCGTAGTCTCGTAGTCGTTGTCTTGTAGTCGTAGTTTCGTAGTCGAAACCTCGAAGTCGTAGTCTTGTAGTCGTAGTCCCGGAGCCACACTTCATAGACTGTTGTTTTATTTTGCTTGGATTGGTTTCGATTAGGACCATTTCGGCAGTAGTGACCACTTAAGTGCATGTGATGAAGGAAATGATGGCGGCGAGGCAAGACTAAATGCACCCGGATGTGTTACACTTTACCGACCAATATCGCCCAGGGGCCTCTTCCCGGGTATGTGCGAGCGCTTGGAGGGGGCTTGTACCAGGGACTACTTAGCCCACTGATGGCTGTAGTGCGCGCAGCTTGTCCCGGATAGACGGGGCGCAGCGGAGGCGTGGTATGGAACGTGAGTGGGGGACGAAGGGCAGATGGTCTTCTAAGGAGCATGAAACGCTTGCGTGTACTGGAACAATCAATCCAAAACCTGGACGCGAAATAGCCGAAGCATACCAAACAGTGAAACAAAAATGAAATAGAACGTTACAATAGGCTGCAAAGAAGGTGCGTGTCATATGCCCAACAACAAATAAGGAATCGCATAGGTATATCATTGCGCGCTCGGGTGAGGTCAGTTGGACCCCCGGCGGTTTTCCAGAATTATTTCCGAACGATGCAGCACAGCCGCGCCAAACTCTGCGTAACTGTGGGAAAGCGAATAGCGGATCTTTTCATATGAAAAAATTAGGTGTGCCGCATAAGATTGCTGAGCTCTGGTAAGTCAAAAAAGGTCTTAGCTGTCAGCGAAGGTCAATTCAAGGGAATCGTTCAATCTGATGCGACAAAGGAATGATAGACGAAGTCATACATCTCCGATATAGTTTCTGAGACAACACGCCAACTGAATTTAAAATCCGTGGACTAAGGGTCAGGTATAAAGGTCAGACAGAGGTCAAAAGAAACCAGCTTTTTCACTCGAGAGCTTGCTTGTAGGGATGCTTTTTGGTGCCCATTTCAAATTAATTAATGTCAAGGACCGCAACGGACATGTTCAATGGTCATATAAGGTCACTGACCTGAAATGATACGACCCGGAATTTTGTTTTTAGGAAACATATCGTCTAGTGTAATCCCTGACGCTGACGCGAATGGGAAAATAACAGCAATTTCGTAGTAATTGGTCATCTTGGCCTTTTCTAGGAAAAAAGATCCCTGGCCTTAAATGGACACCATTAAACCTTTACTTTAAACAGGTATCTCGGTCCAAGGTGGTTGCGCGGGGAGGTCTGGAACACTTTGAAGACCAGTCTAAGGTTTGACTTTGTTTTACCTTACTTGACCCAAAGATTACGATCTAGGAACCTCAAAGTCCGACAAGTGAGATCATATACAGGCCAACGCACTCCGTGAGTTTGGTGTATCTAGCTACCTTAGTCTTTATACCTCAGCGGGCCAAATTTCCCCCACTCCCCACGCGAGCGAAGGGTATTCAACCGGCCACCCAGGCGCGTGTTAACAGGAAATATAAGTAGCGAGAGGAATACATAACACCTTTTCACAGCCATTAAGCAGCGTCCATTGCCTGATGCATGCAGGACCAATGTAATGTAGGCTAACGGATGTCTTTTCCTCGTATTTATGTTGCAAGACGTGGTTTGTATTCCAGTCAGGTAGACAAATGTTTGGGCATCACCAGATCAGGATCATATGCGAGGTAGCACCAGATTAGGCCCAACCAGATCCAATCCACACATCACAAAACGGGCAGCAAAAATCCGTTCTCGTGGGAGCCATCATCTCACGACCAGACCCCCCAGAGTCATAGCGTAACGGCGAACTGCATCAGGACCAGTACAGGTGCCAGCCTTGCCGAAGCCGGCACGGCGCCGCCAGGGCCAGCACAGCGGCCGGCCCCGCTAGAGCCAGCGTAGCGGCTGGTCCCGCTGGAGCCAGCACAGCGGCGAGAGTTAGCACGGCGGCCTGCCCCCGACTCACCCGAGCCGGCGTAACCGTAGAACCCTCTGTTGGCTTTTGATTTAAGACAGATTAATATTAACATAACAAAGACCAGGGTTTTTCTCTTTGCCTAAGTTCTCTAGAAATATCCAATTTTCGTTGCTAGGCCAATAGATTTGGTGCGTATTGACCTATCTATACGTTATCACATCTTAACAAAAAGTGACCATCCAGGTCATGATAATGACCTGGAAGAAGACCAAAACAGACGAAATCAGAATTAAGGTAACCTATTCTTACCGGTATAATTTCTGCACATATAACAACTTATTCCATGGGGAGAAATGCCTCGCCCTCTTCTAGATCTGCAAATGTCCAAGTTCTTGGTCTGGATCGACTAAATAACCTCCCATGGGTCCGTCACCAAAGCACCACCGCAGCCGAAAAGCCGATGAAGTGCATGGTATATGGTGCAACTACCGTTAGCCGCCCTACTAAACAGCGTCGGGTAATGGGACCGATGGAATCACTGTCGCCACCACCACCGCTAGCCGCCCTACTAAACAGCTTGGGGTAATGGGACCGATGGAAGGACCGTCGTCAAAACTGTCCAACTGCACTTCTCTTCTGGTCAAATGGGGAACTCTGAGGCGAAGCTACGTCGCTGGGATCACAAATGGATTGTTTTGCTATAAGATGAGATATTTTTGCAACAATCATTTGATCAGCTTAAGTTGAATACGCTGACTTTTCATGCGAAAATATGTGAAAAACCAACCAACCGGCGAAACAGGATCACGGAATCGATAAATAAGTGCACTCGAACTGCAATCACAGGTGATAGCAGGGCAGCTCACATGCTGCAGACAGGCACTAACCAGTCAAGGCCATGACCTTGCTTGACCATTGAAAGATCGGTGTCGCTTGCATCCATATACCCATATGCAAGACAAGTTAAAAAATGGACAATCACCAATGCAGCATGTCTGTGCCAACAGGTATGGGGGAAATCCATGTCAGTCGACACTTTCCTATTCTACAGTGTCTTGACACGGCGCGACCCTGAGCCAGGAAATTAACTAAGACTGGTGGTACGGTGTTATTGATGTAGGCCTAAAATCAGATCTAACACCATTGGCGTCAAAATGGATTGTATGTATAAAAGAAACAAAAAGCGTACCACGATTGCCAACACGTGAACCGTAATGCCGACTTGGCAAGAATTCCGACTGACGTCATCTTTACAATGCGTCATGTGTATTGACTGGAGACGTAACTTAATGGCCCACCAACCCGCCTCATCAAACCCGGAAAGAGTTCGTGAGGTTTTTGGTCTAGTCTCGCCAAGTCTAGCCCTCGCTGTGGGCTAGACTTGGCGAGCTTTTGCGGGGTGGACCGATGCGGTTTAGCAATTTTAACTATCAAAATACTGTTTCTGGGCTAGTACTTAGCTCTCAACACCAACCACAAAAAAGAGCGCATTGCTTCCCACATCACCAGAAGGAAACAACTCGTATTTTGATTTCTCTAACAAGGGCCTCAGCGACCGAAACCCATGGTGAACATGACACATCAGAGCACCAGGCTGCGCAACTTGAGCAATTGTTAACAAAATCTTACTGAAAAGTCAAGTCAAAAAGTCAATAACTCTTAAATTAGCCAAGCTTGGCCTG